CCCCAAAACCCCAAAACCCCAAAACCCCGCTAGAATAATAAATACATGATTGGGAAATATATCATACTTTGAATATAATAAAAACATTAATCGCTAGAGTAAAATGGTAAATTTTGTAAATCTAATCACTCTATCAGGCTGGCTAATCAAACAAAAAGAATCTGATCAATATGCTTTACTGGAGTAAGATCATGCAGTATCTCATTGGAGGAATTAATGTATACTTATTATGCAATTAATTGATCTTAATTAGGCTATTTACGTGATATCTTTGATTTACGTCTCCATGTACAGACCAGCTGGTGACATCTATGATAGTGAAGGTAACAAGGTTGGAGAGAGCTACGGCAATACTAATATGGATTATTTCGGGCTTATATTATTTGGACTGGTAACTAGGACTACTTATAGAATGATTTGCAACTCGCTTGAAGATGGCTTGTAGCCAGAATACGCATTAGATATATTTGCAATTAACTTATTCTCTCAATTATTACTATCTTTCACTCGCTATGGCTGGTGGGTCTACATGCTAGTGCCATGCTATATTGGCTATAAAGTTTCAGGCTGGATATGGGCTTATCTCTCCAGAACTACTGCTCCAGCCAATGATGCCTAGGAAGAGATTGACCCAAAGCTCGCTAAGAAATAGGCAAAGGACAAGAAGAAAGAGGGTAAAGAAAAGGTAAAGTATATCAAAGGCCGCTGAACTATCTAAAATTAATTGGCTTTAATTAAATTAATTTATATAATTTATTAACTTATTTTCAATGGAATCTGAATTATAACAGGTCAATCATGATTAAAGTAATTTCTTAATTTCTGTTTATCACACCCAAATTTGCAGATCTGATTGAAGATGATAATATAATTTCAAGGCATAAAGTTCAGTCAACCATCAGCTACCTCAGGCCAGTTATGGATTCGAGGATTACTACAAATTAAAAAAAATAGAATTTATTGACTCCCACAACAGCTACTCATACATAGCTTGGTCTTGCCACATCACATCCCGTTATTCAGTTCAATGACTCAAGTAACAATGTCTATCATAGTGTGCTGCAGTCTAACAGGACTAATGGAAAACCTTAAACTAAACAGCAAACTGTTAGATCTGGAGTACCTATCGGGATTGGGATGACAAGTCCTCGATTAACTGCCAATAGGCAGAATAAATCAACAATAAATGAGAAACAAAGTAACTAATTTGACAGAAATATTGATAAATTTGGCACTCCTAAATCTAGCGAGCGAAGCCTGATAACTATTCATGGAATTCAAGATGGTAAGTATAATAGTTCTCCTTCGCTACTAAATACAATCTATAGCTGAAAACTTCGAAAAAGACATCAATGACATAATGAACATAGTAGATGATATTGAGAAAAATCTCAAAACAGTAAACTTTATCAAAAAGCCTAGAATAAATATGCAATCTATCTTGAACCAGAGTGCTAATATCGTCAAAATATCTAAAATGAATATGGAATAGAGAAGGCAGAGTTAGCAATACACACAAAGAACAGCCATGATTGGCGATGGAGAGTCTTCATAAGTTAAAAAAGGCATTTCTCATAACTTTTTCTTTCAAAACTAAATAGGAAGTAGATGCCGCAAAAATAATAGGCCATTCAGAGGCACAATACTGAATCAATCTTCTATAGAGGATCAAAATTTCAACAGCAACTAAGCATAATAATAGCATTAAAGGGATGTATTAGCAAGGAGTATGGAGCTGAAAAGACCTCAGAATTTCAAAATCAGAAAGTAGTATATCAAAGGGTAAAATTCTATTGATCGTAATCATGAAAATGCCAACGTGAATACTACTCAATAAACCATTAATAACAAGAATAAGGTAGAAATCTATGAAAACGGAATCATACCTAATAAATTGATCCTTTAAAATCCATTTAAGATAAGATCGCCTAATAATCTCGAGAGGCCTGTTATGACTAATTCTAAATTTAACACTGTAATTGATACTGAGAATTCAGCCCATTATGATACCTAAAGTAGCCCTGACTAATTCAGCAATAATATAAGGTCAGTTCAGAAAAATCTCGAGAACATTATGGTATAAGACATGAATTAGACAATGAGATAATCTTTCAATCATTAATAATCTATGAATTCCTCAGTTAGAAGAGGTCAAAGTTGACAAAAAGTGATCATGCATGTTAACAAGTATATTCCTCACTATCAGAGATTCATGAAGATAAAAAAGAAAGAATTAGTCGCTTTTCAGCGGGATTATTAGTCAAATGGCAACTCGAAGATCGTACAGCAGCTCATTGACTATGATCAACTCCTGATTCAAATATTCAACTAGAGAAAGTTCAGATACGTCTCTGAATTTTACAATCAAAATGACTCTTAAAATGAAGATGGTTTTACAGAGTCTAAAATCAATATAGACATAGCTCACATTGAAAAAGATCAAGATGAGGAATTAGTCAGGAATCGGGCATATGAATTTTTAATGAGTGATTTACAAGATCTGAGGCAGATATACACAGTTGAACTTTAGAAGATGATTTAGCGCTTGGAGCAATAAGATGATGAATTTTCTAAAGAACGCCAGTTCTTTTTAAAGCAAGCAAAAATCAATGAGAAAACTGAATAGGACTTGAGAGCTAGGATATCATATCTAGAATAAGAACTAGATGATGAGAAAAATCATAATATCGAAACTCTCATTAGGGAAAACGTGGCTAGTGTGTGTGAAATAGCTCTCTTGAATTATCAGACATAAGCTAGCAGACATTAGGGTTAGACGCAAATGGATGCAAACCAAGAGGAAAAGAAATAAAAGTAGATGAATTACAAGGAATTGTATAATGAATCGAGATAGCAATATATCTATGAGTTAAAGATAAATAAAAAAGTACTTAACATGATGGAAAATAAGGTCTCTAACCTTATTGCTGAAAACGGGTCTCTGAATAATTACATAGTGAAGCTTAAAGCTTTAAATGAAGAGATTGAGAGCATGGCAAAAATAAGAGAAGATTAGCTTAATGGATAAATTCTCAAGAACAAGGATCTATAGGGTCAAATGGATGCATTGGTATATCGGGAATAAAATTTATAGGCGCAGCAAGTCCCTGTGTACGAGTTTGACAAATTAAATGCAGACTACTAAAAAGCAATAGATTGTGTTGGCAGTCTATAGATCAGAAATCAAATACTAGAACAAGACAAGAAGCTTTTAGTGTCTTAGCTAGTTAATGTTAAAAACTCTATTTCCTGGATAAATAATGTTCTAGGATAAAAATTTGCAGACTTTACTGAGAACATTGCAGAAAAAATGAAGAAGCTGAATAGTAAAGTAGAGAAGATTTAATTTATCTTTAATGAGACGCTTTTATATACAAACAAGACCTATTTCCTAGAAGAGATTTATAAAATGAGATCTGAGGTCACTGAACTAAAAAAGAAAAATGGCTTGCTTAGTGAAAGAATTAAAGTGATGAAACACCATGTAGATAATGGTTTGTAAAAGTAATAGGCATATAGTGAAAGTAACACTTCTTCATAAGTGCGATAAGAAATTTAGCGAAGATCTCCAACTAATTCAATTAGCTCAAATCATAAGGGAAGACATGTGAAGATTAATTCAGGTGTTACTGTGCCGTCACATCTAGAATATGACAGAGAAGTGAGAGCAATTCACACTGATTTCAATGATTCAAGCAATAATACTCAAGAAATTGAGGAATAATCTCAATCTTAATGAATAATAATTACTACATGAGTCCAGAATTCAGTTATGAAAAATTAAAATTATAATTAACTAATAGTTTAGCTTTATAATATTATACAGTCCTTAATTGATTTGTTAAATAAATCTTTTTGTCCCTTGGGGTTTTGGGGTTTTGGGGTTTTGGGG